CACTGCCACACATCCCCTCCCCAGGGCACACCCACTGACGGTGCTCCTGCTGCCACTCAAACATCCTGCCACCGTCCCCAGGAACAGGCCCAGCTCCCTGGCCTCGCACCCAGGGCCCCTCCTGGCGTGGTTCCCGCGGCGAACTCCGCTTCAGACGCCCTGCCTGCCACACGGTGTTCTGGACACATCTTGCTCTCTGACCTGTGCCTTGGCCTGTTCTACTGCTCTGCCTGGATGCCATCCCGGCCCCTCTCCCTTGGGAGAACTTTCATTTCAAGCCCCGAGTCCCATGGCACCTCTGGGAGGACTTCCTGGGCCGCCCGGGGGCGGACTTCAGGTGCCCGTTGGTTCTCACGCCCTCCACCTCGCGTCTCCCCAGCACGGGGTGGGCTGTGTGCACCTCTGCCTCCCCGAGGCTGGAAGTGCCACCAGTGGGGGGGCCCTGGTCTGGTCCCCGCATTCCAGTGTCCAGGGGCTGGGCACACACAGCCACATGTGCTGACAGATCTCAACTCCTCTCACCGCTCACCACTCACTCACAGCCAAGAGGAAGGTGTTGGTACGAAACATGAGCCAGAATTACCAGCCCGGGGAGCCCGGGAAGACAGGCCTTTGGCTGGTCTGTTCTGGGAAGGCTGCGGGTTAGCCCTCCAGGCCCCCGTGAGGGCGGGGAGGGTGGAGAGGCGTGTGGCTGTCCCTGGGCCCTGAGCCCTGCTCCTCTCATGGCTCTGGGACTCCTCTGCCATCCTGGCTCCGGGCAGTTCCTCTGCCAGTCCTCGCCTGCCAGGCTGGCCTCGACCTCCAGCAGCTGTGGCTGGGCTGGGAGCCAGCGCCATGCCCACAGATCTTGCCACCCCCCCGTGTGCGGGCCTCCCTGACGCCCTCCACAGCCCGGGGGACCCCTCACCCACCTGAGGCCTCTTCCTTTGTCTCCACCTCAAACTCTGCTGTGATGTGGGTCACCTCTTTGGATGGGGACTTCCGGCCACGGCGCCTCTTCTTGGAGGAGTCACACTTGAGGGTCACAAAGGTCACGTGGCTGTTTTCTGGACAAGGCAGGGGCCGCTGTGGCCAAGTGGCACAGGCAGGGAGCAGGTCCTACCCAGCCGTGCACACAATGGCCTCATGGTCCCAGGTGCACACGGGGAGCTGAGGCTGGAGGCCAGGGCTGGCTCTAGGTGCCAGAGGGGCTGGTGGCTGAGCCGGCTCTGCCGGCCCTCGGAGCCCATCCCCGGAGACGCCTCCTGCACATCCCAGTGCAGCTGCACCAGGCGGCTCCGCTCAGGGCGGGGAGCAAGCCTGAGGGGCTCGGCGATCTTCATGGAGGCAGAGCGGAGCTGCCTCCCTCCCGGTCCCTCTCACCAGGCTTCCCCGCTAGTCTCCACTGGACCTCCTCCTGGGCCGCCCTCACTGAGGAACGCATTGCTGAGCGAGCCCCGTGATTCCTGCCACTGGACAGCCAGGCAGAAAGCCCTTGCTCTGGGGGCTCACTGACCCCCGGTGAGGCAGCGACGATGGTCCCACTTCCTGCTGGCCACCTTCCCAGGGACCCCATCGTGGTCTACAGTGCGCAGGTGTGGCCGCTGGGCTGAGGGCCAAGGGGTAGCTTTCAGCAGCCCCCGCCCTGGCTCCCAGCTCCCAGGCACGGTAACCCCGCCCTGTGTGGGCTGGTACCGGGTGGCCCACTCACCCAGCAGCAGCTGCCTTGGGGCCTCCTTGGCTGGCTCCCGGCTGCGGGGCCGGAGGTGGCACTTGGCATCTCGGATCTTGAAGCGCGCCTTCTGCCTGATGGGGGTGGCGGGGGCACCTGGGGAAACCAAAGTCCCCCAGGTGGTGGCCTCTCCTGTGGGCAGGAGGTGGTGGGGCCGGGGCTGCAGAGGGAGTGCCTGGGTGTGAGGGGCTGCCAGGGGGAGGGGCCCTCCGCTGCCTCACTGCTCTCCCTGTGAGGCCCGAGAAAGGTGAAGTGCGGGTGGTGGGGGCAGGCTGGAGCCAGGGCCTTCCAGCCAGAATCTTCTGTGGAGGAAGGAAGGCCCGCACCCTAACCCCCACCCCAGAGCCAGCTCCCGTGGCCTGGGTGTTCAGGGAAGCGGGAGAGGAGAGAGGGCAGCCGGGAGGGAGGGTGGAAGTCTCAGATGCCTGACCACTGCTTCCTTGGAGGAGCAGACCAGAGCCCCTGGACTAAGGCAGCAGCAGTCACAGGTGCTGAGAGTCACGTCGTGGGTTAGACACACGCAAAGGCCATGCCACTGAGTCCGCAGCCTGGACGGGACAGGCGGGGGACACAGCCTGCTCCTGCCGGGTGGCAGCTGCCTGGGCCACGCTGGCACTTGGGGGCAGGGTCTTCCCTGGCAGCGCTGACTCAGGAGCTTTTAGAACTTAATGGCTCCAGCGGGTAGGACTCGCGGCCCTGAAACCCACACCCTAAATTCAGCACCTCAGGGTCAACGAGCCACTCTGTGCTGGGGTCCAGGCGCCTCGGGGTCAGAGGAGTCCTTCCGTGGTCCCAGCCCGCGGCCTGCTGGCTCCCAACACCCAGGAAGCTCCCCTCTGGGCCGTGCCCACCCCTCCCCCCCTACCATGGAGCACCCGGGGGGGCGCACGGCCAGGCCAGGCTACCTGCGCAGCTGGGCCCGGTGCTGGAGCTGGTGCCGTTGCGCTTCTGCGGCGTCCTGCCCTGGAGGCTGGGGACCCCGCAGCTCAGACTGTAGCTGTTTTCTGAGTCTGCGGAGAGGTGGGTGGTGAGGCGCACCCGGCACCCTCTTCCAGCGCCCCAGGTCCCCCGGGCCTCCGAGGGGCAAGGGAACGAGATGAAGGTCAGGGCCTAGCCTGTGTCAATTCCTTTCTGCGACGAGACTACAGGGTACGCGGAGCGGAGGGACACTGTGGCCCGTGGAGACCAGGCAGCTGCCCAGGGCCACTCTGTGAGCAGGGCTGGGCCTCACCCCCCTCAGGCTCCTTCCTGGGGAGCAGCAGGAGCGGGGGCTGGACCGGGGAAGGAGCCCCCACCCAGCCCATCCCGGGACGGCCTGGGTTACCTGGCACAAAGTGCGTGTGGGCCGGGCAGGCGAGGGAGCAGCTCTCCACCCCGCCCGCCTTGCTGCACCACAGCTGGGCCCGGGGGAAGGCCTTGGCCGGAGAAAGGCACCCGCCTGTGTCTGAGAAGGAAGACAAGAGAGGTGTGAGGGGCCACGGAAGGGGCTTTCTGAGGGGGACTCCCCCTCACCTGTCCCAGGGCCAGACCGTCTCGGTGGGAAGGGGCCGGGAGACGGCAGAGTCCACAGGCCCAGGATTCGGGCTCGATCCCTAGCGGGCAGCGCACCGTGCACGGCTGACGAGGACACACAGCGCGGCCAGCGTACGCTGGGCAGCGTTCGGCAGCACAGGGAATGAGGGCCTTGGCCGCACGGCTCAGTCGTGAGCGCATCAGCCTGAGGACTGGAGGCTCTCAGGTTCGTTCCCTGTCAAGGGCGTGTGCTTGGGTGGCAGGTTCAATCCCCGTTCCTGGTCGAGTCCCAAGTGGACGACAACCAATGGATGGGTCTCTCTCACATGGATGTTTTCCTCTGTCTCTTCCCCTCCCCACTCCCTTCCACTCTGAAAAATATCAATGGAAAAAATATCCTCACTCCTTGAGGGAGGATTTAAAAAAAAAAAAAAGGACCGAGGCCCTGGCAGCTCCGACGTCAGCGAACCCTGCAGACACTGACTGGCCGCCTGGGCCTGGGCCGGAGGGAGACGGGGAGTGACGGCTATGGGCTGGGTTTCTTTTTGGAATGAAAACGCTCTAGAACTGACAGGGGTTGCACAGCTGTGACTGTGCTGCAAACCACCGACTCACACACTTTATTATTTTTAAAGCATTTTACTTGTTTGTTTATTTATGTATTTATTTTGTTAATACTCGTCCAAGGATATTTTTCCATTGATTTTTTTAGGGAGAATGGAAGAGAGAGGGAAAGACAGAGAGACACATCGATGTGAGAGAAACACAGCGATTGGTTGCCTCCTGCACAAGTCCCGACCAGGAATCCCCAGGCTGGGGAGGAGCCTGCAACCAAGGTACGTGCCCTTGACTGGAATCGAATCCGGAACCCTTTGGTCTGCAGGCTGACACTCTATCCACTGAGCCAAACCAGCTAGGGCCCTCTTTATTTTTATTTATTTATATTTAAATACATTTTTATTGATTTCAGAGAGAAAGGGAGGAGAGAGAGAGAAACAGCAACGATGAGAGAGAATCATTGATCGGCTGCCTCCTGCACAACCCCTACTGGGGATTGAGCCCACAACCCGGGCATGTGCCCTTGACCGGAATTGAACCTGGGACCCTTCAGTCTGCAGGGTGACGCTCTATCCACTGAGCAAACAGGCTAGGGTTCGAATCACACACTTTAAATGGGTGAATTGCATGTCTCTCAATAAAGCTGTTAATAAAAACAAATCCAAAACCCAAGAGGAAGAAAGAGGCATGTCCTAGAGAAAGTCTGTTGGCTCCGTAGCTCCGGTAAACACCAGCCCCAGCAGGACCCCAAGGAACTGGTGGGCACAGCCCCAGGCAGGAAGGCAGTGCCCGGCGGGCAGGCTTCTCAGCACCAGCCATGCTCCCGAGACCTGACCACACAGCCCAACACGCCTTCGCCCACGTCGGCAGGACCAGTGCGCTCCGCTCAGCGTGATAGGTCTGACTTCCTGATTTCCAGTATTGAGTGATGGCGTTCTTCTCTCAAAAGATACTACGAGTGACTAGCTGCTAGCTCTGCTCTAGTGCTGGGGTTCAGCAGGGAACAAGACAGCCCCCCAATCCTGCTCGCTGTGCAGAACACACACTCCAGTGAGGACAGCCACAGCCCGGGAGGGTGGGAACAGCCATTGTGTCTGGAGGTCGGGGCGGGGGGGGGGGGGGGTGCAGTGGAGGAAAGGAAAGGGGAAGTACCGGGAGGGCGGAGGGTGAGGGGGGCGGATGGTGTCCGGGTTGTGCTCAGAGTAAGGAGCCTCCAGTCACAGGAGTGTGTGCCCCCCCTGTGCTCGGGGGAGGACCACATCCAGGAGCTCAGTGGGTGACGTGGGGCAAGGAGGTGAGGGGACGGCCACCAGGCCAGGCTGCAGCGGCCTCTGGCCATGCAGAGAGCTGGGGCTTTGCTTCTGGGAGGAGTCCCAGCGGGCTCAGAGCAGACAGGACTCGGGGCTACAAGGCTCGCTGGCTGCCCTGGGCAGTCCCCGCACCCAGAGCAGGCCCGGCACAGGGTGGGCAGTCAGTATGTGCTTGTGCAGCCAGTGAGTGTGGGGGACTGTCCAGACCCCGAGCACCAGCAGAGGGCGGAGGATCCCTCGCTCTAGGAGGCCTGCCTCACGCTGAGGGGCTGGCAGCCTGGGCAGGGGTGGGTCTGGAGAGACCCGGATGCTCCCCTGTGCTCCCCACCCAGGCTCTGCTGCTGCTGCACCCGGAACCCCCACCCCCACCAGCTCCTTGGCAGGACAAGGGGGAGCCAAGGCCTCCACTCCCTTCCTCTGAGCCTCCAGCTCCTCCTGAGCCCACTGCACATGCTGTGCTGTACATGCTGAGCCCAGGACCCCACCCCCCAGGTCTGTCTGTGCTCAGCTGACTCCTGGTGCTCCGCCACCACGTCCCCTCGCTTCTGTAGGCCTCATTCTTGTCAGCCAGGGGCCAGCAGCAGAGGCTCCTGCCCAGCACCTGCCTGCAGAAGCCACTGCCCCTCCCTGCCCACCAGGCACGGAACAGAGGGTGGGTCCCAGCGATGCCCACCCCAGGGCACCTGCCCCAGGGCACTCACCCACGCAGTCCTTCCGGGTTCCAGTGGAGTCGCCTCCCCGGGGGGCAGACGCACTCGAAGCTGCCTTGGTGTTGACGCAGCCCTGGTCGCAGCTCCCGTTGCTCATGCTGCACTCGTCCACGTCTGCAGCACAGGCGGGGGGAGGGCAGAGGGTAAGGGCAGGAGGGGCAGGACTGGTCAGCCCAGGCCACGCCCTCGGGGCAGGAGGGCTGGGAATCCCCTGACCCTAGCCTGACACTCACTGTGCAGATACGGGGCTGCACACATCACACATCCAAGCATGCACACACCCGTGAACACACACACGTGAGCACACACAAGACTCCCACACACACTGACACACCCCTCTTGCTCAGACGGGGGCCCGGCAGAGCAGTGGCACAAAATTAAAGTTCCCATCAGGTCGTGGGGCAGGAGGAGCACTGGCCCAGGGACCTTGCGGCCTCTTCTCACCGTGGGACTTGGGACAGGCCCTTCCCAGCCCCGCCTCCTGTCACCTCTGAGCCCTTCCTCCTCGGACCGCCAAAGGCCAAAAGCTCCCGTCGTGGGGGAGGGCTAGACTGCATTCACACTGGGTGCACGACTGTGAGCACCCGGCCGCCCACATTTGGGGAACGGCCGGCCCAGGGAAGCTGGTGCCCAGGTTTTGGGGAGTCCCTGCAGCCTACCCCAGGTGCCACCCCCAGCACCAGCTGTGCCCGATCACTTCCCTGCCCCACCCAGCGAGCCCTCACGGCTGCCCCAGGCACAGGGAGGGAAGAGACACCCAGGACCACAGGGGACGCGTGTGCACACACCTGCCAGTCCCAAGTCTGTGCCTCCTCTGCGCCCCTCCCGCCCTGCCCGAGCTCCGGCAGCTCCGGCAGCTCTGGCTCCCATGTCTGGAGCCGTCTCCACACTGGTGCCCGGGTCCCACTCTCCTAAACACATGGCAGCCAGAGCAGTCTCGGTACATGAACTTGGCCATGTCCCAGTCCTGAGTAAAGCTTCCAGCGGTTTCTCTTCTCACAGGGAATAGAGCCCAAGTCCCCTCCAGGCTCATGAAGCCCCATATCCCACCTGCACCTCCCGCCATGCTCACGGGGCTCTGGCCTCCCTGGCTGCCTCTGGGTCACTCTGCCTCAGGGCCTTTGCACAGGCTGACCCCTCTGACAGGCTCCCCCTCACCTTGACCCGACCACTCCTCCTTTAGGATCCCTTACCGCCTCCTGCTCTGCCCTTCTCTGTCGCCACCTCTCCCACTGAATGAACTGCCCACGGGATTCTCTGTGGCGACCACCCTCCTCCAGACGGGAGTTCCCTGTAGCTGTTTCCTTGCCCACAACCTGGCCAAGGCTTAGCACCCAGTGGGTACTTGCTGCCCCCCCTATCCTCCTGCCTTTCCTTTGGCTGAGCCCCTCTGCCCACCAGTCCCCAGCCTCCCTTAGCCCCCCAGGCTGGTCAGGGTGAGGGTGAGGGGGAGGGTGTGGGGTGCGGTGCAGGGGGCCGTGCGGCCGGCGCGTGCCTCGGGGGGAGGTGGCCTTGGAGGGCGGGCTGCAGACCTCCGCAGTGGGTTGTCCCGTAGAGCGTGTAGCCGCGGTGGCACACACACTGGAAGCTGCCTGGGGAGTTGACACAGATGTGGTCGCAGGTCCGCGCGAAGGAGCACTCGTCAACGTCTGCGTGGCCACAGGGAGAGAGTTTGGGGAGGCGTGTCAGGTGGGTGGAGGGGCACGCCTGCCCCGGGGCCGGCTCAGTGCACAGCCCACCGGCTTCCTGTCGCTGCCTGGCTTTCCTTTGTCTCCACTGCCTGTGCTTCCAGGAGCCACCTCGTGTCTTCTCTGGAGGTGGGCAAGGTGGGAATATCTTGAATGGAAGGGTTATTATGAATTTCTGCCGTTTTAATACCCCACAGTTAACTGTGATTAGGATTGGATTTTAATTTTTTTAATATATTTTTATTGATTTCAGAGAGGAAGGGAGAAAGAGAGAGAGAAATCTCAACGACGAGAGAGAATCATTGACTGGCTGCCTCCTGCACGCCCCCCAGTGGGGATTGAACCCACAACCCAGGCATGTGCCTGACTGGGAATCGAACTGTGACCTCCTGGTTCATAGGGCAATGCTCAATCACTGAGCCACACCGGCCGGATTGGTCTTTAACCCACCCCTGCAGGAAACTGACAGGGGCTAAGGACGCAGCTGAACTGGGGCATGAAGCCAGGCCTCCTGGTTGCTGACCAAAGTATGTTTTCCCATCACCCCACATGCCTCTTCAGGAAACAAGGGAAACAGCAGACAGACAGGAGCAGGGGGAGATATGCTGCCCATGAGGGGAGTAAGGGCCTGGACAGCATGTGAAACCTGACTCTGAGTTTCCTGGCAGCCGGGGTGAAAAGGAAGAGTGCTTGCTGCTGGAGATGGAATAAGCCACATGCCCACAGGAGACAGGTCTGAGCTGCCGAGAATTCGGAGAAGAACAGCTCCTGCGGGACAGGTGATGGCGCCTGCTTCTCCATGGGCCCTGCAGAGGGAGCTCATTCTCTGAGCACGTTAGCTCATGTGACTGCACGCGTGTTCAGAATACGTGTGTGTTTGCAATAACACGTGCTGTGGGCGCTCAAAGGAGGCTGTGATCCCTTCTGGGTGGGGGTCCGGGGAGAGCTGATGCTGTGGCTCCTGGGCTAGTTTGCAATGAAGGAGTTAGGGTGCGGGAGGGAGCTGCAGGCAAAGGCGGGAGGTGGCAGCACAGGGCGCCCAGGGATTGTGAGGAGCTCAGGGGGGCTGGGGAGGTGTCTGGGGTCCCCATCCCCAGGGCCCTGAGTCCAAGCAAAGGCGCTTAGACCCCTCCCTGCTGGAGCTGGGGAGCCCTGGGTAGTGCGGGGGCAGGGGTGGGGCATGGCCAGAGCCCCAGGCCTTAGAGATGAGTCTGGAAGAGGCTGGAGAAGACACGGCCAGAGACCAGAAGCAGACACGTGGCCGCCTCCTCTTCCACCTTGGCAGCTCCCGCCTCTCTCACAGGGCAGCTGGGGATGCAAGTCAGGGGCCCCTTTCAGCCCCCACAGGGCAGAGGGAGAAACAAAGTCGAGTGCAGAGTGCCATGATTGGGGCCTGGACAGATGCTGAGCTCCCAGCACACCCTTGTGCCCTGAGAGGGAGCCTGGCCCTGGGTTGTGCTGAGCCCCTGGATGGGCTGGCCCTGGGCCCTCCGCACCCTCAGGGCCTCGAGCTGCCTCGGAGCCAGGCTCTGAGCGGCAATCACGGGCAGAAGCTGCAAGCCCCACAGCCAGACTCGGCCATGCGTGGCTGAGCTACTGGAACCCTGTGGACACGAAATAACTAAACCGTAACAGTACTTGTGGCAGGCTTCCCTGGCCCGGCCCTCAGCACCCCCTCCCAAAGCTGGCCCCCAGGGCACCCCTGTATTCTCAGTGGCCTCGTCCAGCCCCACAGAGCTCCCGCTGTGGTCCCCAAGCTCCCTCAGCCCAGCAGTGCCACTTCCTGGGTGGGTTTACCGCCCTGGCTCCCCCTGGAAAATGCCTTTTTCAAGCATTTCGCCCGCGCCCCACCTCAGGAAGCCCTCCGACCACTCTCCCCACTGCTCACGCCCTGGGCTCCTTCTGAACCGGGATGTCGGCTGGACTTATCCCGCGCTCTGATTCTTGGCTTCTGCCCAGATTTCTCCTCCCATTACCCTGCTCCTAGCAGGTGCCGGGACCCTATAAAGGACGGCGGAGAGCACCTGCAGTGTGCTGTTGCTTCCACCAGGTGGCAGCACTCCACCGCTGAGGCCATGGGAGGAGGGGAGGGGACACAGCTGATAATCTCTGCTACCCACGGGCTGTGCCCCCTGGGACCCCTGCTGCTCTCTCCCTGGGCCCTGGAGTCATAAAGGACAGGGAGGCGGGGAGGGCAGGCGCACATGCTAAGGACCCCAATACTCGACCTGTTTCTCCCAGAGCCGGGACAGCCGGCAGGTGGACCACCCCACCCCGCACTCGCCTCCTCTCCCAGAGCCGGGACAGCGGGAGGGGAAGGGGCCGGGTGGACGGCACGCCCTGGCACCGAGAAGGCTCACCTTGGCACGTCCGCTCGTCGGTCAGCAGCTTGTAGCCCTTGCGGCAGCCGCACTCGAAGCTGCCCACGGTGTTGCGGCAGGAGTGGTCGCAGCCCCCGTTGTTGGCCAGGCACTCGTTGATGTCTGTGGAGCCAAGCGCGGGGCGAGGAGCATGGGCTACAAGTGGGGGTGACGGCCCAGCACCGCCCTTCCCTACCTGCTGTGCCCACTGCCCAGGGCTGGCCTCAGTTTCTGCACTGAACATAAGGATGGGGGGGTCCCAGCTCAGCAGGGGGTCAGGAGGATGGTGACACCACTTCCCCCGGACGTGGCATCGGGTGCTGTCGGGCAAGACAACGGGAGGCCGAGGGCCCTGTGTCCTCTCACCACCTGAGAGGGCAGCTGCAGGGCAGTGAGGCCTGGGGCAGGCGGCTGCCTTCCCACGGCTGTGACCTTGACTCTCGGTCTGTGAGACCAGGATCGGAAGCACCTCGAGGGTAAGAGAGTGACACGGGTCAGCGCTCAGTGGACTCGCAGTGCCCGCTGGTGGAGGCGCTGCAGGCAGACGCTCAGTCTGCCTCTTCCTGCTTGCCCACCCCGATGCCGGCCTGTTGGTCGGAGCCGTTCTTCACTCAGCACTTGACGAGCGTGGCCCGGCCCCACGCCTCACCCTCAGTCCGAGCGTCCCGCGGAGGAGGCCTCCGCCGGCACCTGGGGTGATGGCAGCCGTCTCCCTCCCACGCGGCCTGTGGGCTGCCGCAGCCTGAGCTCCCTGCCCTGCCAGCTTTGCTCTAGGCTCTGGCCAGCTGCCAGACGGTCAAGAGACCCTGCCTCTGAGGTGCTCCCCGTGGGCCGGCCCTCAGCCCCCAGGTGGTCACCCCTCCGGACAGGACCCAGCAGGTAGTTAGAGAAGGAAGAGCTGACCTCCAGGACGGGTACACAGGAAGCAGCACAGAAAGGGCGCTCCGCCTGGGCCTCTGGCCCCTCTCAGCAGGGCTGCCCACTCAGGTTGCAGCGCCCACTGGGCCTGACCTGAGCCGAGGCCGCACGCCCCCGTCCCGTGCCACAGGCACCTCCCTGGGAGCAAGGTCACTCTGCGCCAGGTGCCGGAGTCCCAGGCAGGAGACTGGTCCCATCCCGCCCCTCGCCATGCTGCTCTCGCTTTCCCCGCAGCCTCGAGAAGGCAGACGAGAAGTCGGCGAGGCCTGCCCAGGCAGAGGCCCCGGCATCGCCACTGTTGCCTCCCCTGGGGATTATGGGAAGATGGGGATCTCTAACTGGAAGCTTCTCGCAGAGCGAAGGCCCGCCTCAGCCCTGCCCCAGCCGGCTGTGTGACCTGGGCAGGGAAAGGCACCTCCCTGGGCCTCGGGCTCCCAGTGTCGCTGGTGAGACTGACCCTGCACGTGGGACTGCCTTCAGGGACGCCTCAGGCCCCTGCAGCCGCGGTGCCATCCCTCCCCATCTGGACCTGTCGGCTAAGGGCTGTCATAGCAACCAGACAGGCGGCAGGAGGCATGTTTGCTCAGGCCAGGCCGGTGCAGCAGGCTGCTGGGGTCACCACCTGGGAAGCAACCCCCAGCTGCAGCCGTGACACACTGTGGGAGCCCTGGGCAAAGATGGCTCCTCTACCTTCATTCTGACGTGGGGCATGTGGGGGGGGGGGGCTCGGAGGGCAGCTCCTCTTCTCACTTCCTGCCCCTCTAGACTCCCCTCCTTCTCCACTGTGCTCCCACCAGCCCTCGCCCGGCGGCCAGAGTCCCCTTCCTGTCCACGGGTCTTCTGTGACCTCCCGCTGTCCCAGAGGAAAGGCCAGTCCCGTTGCAGGCCGGGCCCGGCCCCCTTGCCTGCTCTCTCTGCCCCAGGCTCCTGTCTGGGCAGCCCCCACCCAGCCTGCCCCTGGGAACACTGACCCGGAAGCCTTCTCTGACCTTCTCTCAGTTAGCTGCTCCCTTGTCACTGGGCCTGCCCTCAGGGCTATGGAAGGGCCTCAAGCACAGGGGCCGGGGCGTGGGTATCAGGCCCGTCGGGAGCTCAGGGCCTGGCACAGGCTGGCACAGTGACACCCAGGGGTGCTCACTGGATGGATGGGTGAGTGAGGAAACGAGGGAGTTGGGGGGCTGAGAGGAGGGCGGCGTCTCGAGCCATCTGCTGGAACATTCAAATGGTCAGTGTTCGAGGGTCAGCACTCTGTGTGTGGGAGGGGGAGGACGCAGCCTGGCCACCCAGAGGCATGCGGGTGAGGGCTTTCGGGTGGGAGCAGAGGGAGGAGCTGGGGGAGTGGGCTGGGTGGAGGGGCAGAGGCAGGAGAGGGAGGAGAGGAACAGGCGGTGGGTGGGGTTCTCTGTTCTGGAAGGTGCTGGGAAGAGTGGCTGGTGCCTGAGGAAACCCGGGCTCCAGCTCAAGAAGTGGAGGCCCCAGACGCCCTCCTCTCGGAAGGACCTGCTAGCAGGACACCCTTCCCAAGGTCATGGGTGCAGCCTTGAGACCGGACCTGGGCACTGCCTACTCCCTTGAAACAAAGCGAGGGCTTGGGGCGAGTCCTCTAGAACCCCCTTTCCCACCCGGCCTCCACCTGCCCTTGTGATCCCTCTGGATTTCCTGAGGCCTCTGCTACCTGACCTCCAGCCATTAGCTTGACAACGACCTTTCTGGTTCTGGAAGACACGGCCCCTTTGAGGCCGGTCCTCTGACACGCCCTCCAGGTCCGGCCAACACCAGGATGTACACGCTGCCTGAGGAGCGGAGCCCTGGGACTCGGCTGCGAGCCGAGGCTCTACAGCACCAAACCCTGGGGCCTGGGGTCAACGTTTGGTTTCCAGGGTCCCTGCCATGAAGACGTTAGGATGTCCTTATCCCGCATTCTAGACTAGTCCATGAACCCTAAGTCCTAATGCATCAGACAGCATCCAGACCCCTCTTCACCTTCACGCTCCGGGCCCAAGCCAGTGTCCCTGGAGCCTGGGTGAAGGTGGCAGCTGCCCAGAGACCAGCAACGGCCAGGGACCCTCCCCCAGGGAAAACCTGGCCTCGGCTGCCCCTGCCCAGTAGCTTTGGGGCCTCACCAAGGCTCAAAGGATGAAGGGCCAACCCCTTCCCTGGCCCACAGGCCCTGCACCATCTGGCCTCCCGGCCCCTCCCCAGACCTGGGTACTGCCTGCCTCTGGGACCTGGAAGCCCAGGCCCCGCGGCAGCCCCATGCCCTTGGAGGTGCTGCCCCGACCGTGCCTCTCCCTGGCCCTCCGCCTGCTCATGCCCAGGTCCGGCCCCTCCGCCTGGCCTCCAGCTCCCGCCAAGCTGGACTTCTCGGTCCAGCCCCGAGCAGGCTGGTTCACACTGATCCCCGTGATTGTGAAACATGAACATCTGTCTTCTGCACTCGACAGAAGACCTCAGGAACAGACTGCTTCATCCCGTCCCCCAGCTCCTGCCCGCAGGAGGGGCCCAGAAAACCCGTCTGGGACTGAGGGAGCGGCACTTCCTGCCTCCGGGCGGTGGGGCTGAGCAGCGGCCGCGTGCCTCCAAGCTCAGGGTCCTCAGCCCCCGGCTCCTCCTGTTCCAGCCGCAGACAGGTCCTTTGCACCCTCAGCTGAGACCCCCCTCCCCCACTTCACTCCTCCAGTGACAAGGACACAGAGTCCTTACTTTTTAACAGGGATGAGCAGACAATCCCATCAGGGATGAGCAGACCCTGCTTCCCGCGTCGCCCTGCGCCACGCGGTCACAGCCGTGGGGGTGAGGAAACGCGCCAGCCCGGCCCCTTGGGAACCACACGAATCACGAGGCCAGGAAGGCACCTGTCACCCAACGGTGAAGCCCAGTTCTGCTAAGAGAGCCTAGTTTTTGTGCCCCGGGACCTGGAGGAGCGCGGTGGAACCAGCATTCCCTGGGACGCCGTGGGGGCGCGGGTGCCGAGCCTCCCTCTGCTCAGCCCCTCCCCCCGACATGCGGACAACAGCTCAGCTTCCTGTCCCATGCCCACCCCACCGGCTGGCATCGCAGGCGCAGCCCTGCTCGCCTGCCTGCCGTGACGAGAGCGAGGCGGGCACTGCTCACGGCTCCGGGCTGACCTTTGCACGTCTTCCCGTCGGGCTGCAGGGTGAATCCCACAGGGCAGCTGCACCGCACGCCCGTGGCCGTGTCCTTGCACGTCCGGTCGCAGCCTCCATTGTTGACGGCACACGTCTCTGCGGAGGGAAAGAGACAGAGCTGCTTCGTCTCCTCGGACAGAAGCCACCTCCTCTCCCCACCCAGGGGGGTCTCCTGAGACAGGAGCCCTGAGTTCCAGTCTGGCTCTGAGACCCTCCAGCTGTGGGGCTTCGCTGAGCCTCAAGTTACCCATCTGTAAAATGGGAGAATGGCATCCTTTCCGGGGGTTGCTGGTGAACACCCATCATGATGATGGTGGACAGGGCGATGTTTGCAGACTGCAGAGGGTGGGCTTGGGTAAAGGTACTACCAACAGGGTCCCCCTACTCCTGGGGGCCAGTGCCGATGGGCCTGGCTGGTATTTAACACCCGGCCAGGTTCCTAAAGCCTGGCCCTGCCTGGCTCAGGCGCCGAACCCAGGCTGCCGCTCGCGGGGGCTCCCACACGCACCCCAGCACGCCGGCCTGTGGCCCTGAGCCCGGGGTTTGCAGAGCGCGCACCATCCATCACCGCAATGAGGCCGGGCCCAACATCTGTTCTCACTGAACGAGACGCCACAGGCATCTGGTTTGTGTCCACTTGAAGCTTGTCTAGGGCTTTTTTCCCTTTTGCAAATTCAAAGGAGCTGGAGTGGCTGTGGCACAACTGAGGTCACAGGACCTGTCGTGGTGAGAGTGATCCTCCCCAGGCCCGCAGGAGGGGCCGGCGGAGCCAGGTCGCCGGGGCGCAGGTGGCCCGCACACGAGGAGCCTGGCTCCCGGGCCTCGGAGCCTTCCCATCTGGGTTTCTTCCGAGCATCTGGCAGCTTTGATCTTGTGGGAACTGTGCCCGCCTGGGCTTCCCTCTTTCCTTGGCTGCTGGGAAGCGAAGGGCCATGGACTCCTCACTATTTTATGACCGCGATGCCCTGCCTGCCTGCCTTAGCTTCCCCTGGGCGCCTGGCCCGAGGCCTTTCCCGAGGCCCCCAGTTCATTCTGTCTGTCCATCCGTCTGTGGTACCTGACTCCTGCAGCTGCCTTTGGGCCTCTGCAAGGAGTCTGGCATGAGTGTGGGAGTGGTGACTAAGTGAATGCCTACCCCAGTTGCTCAGAGTCCTGACACTACTTAGACCAAGTTCCCGGTGCCTTCCCTTTGAACTTCAACTTGTGACGAGAGCTGTGCAGGGAGAGGAGGAAGCCGACTTTGCCTCCAGTGCGTGGGGTGTGCGTCTGGGCTCTGCGGGGTGGCTTCTGCCTCCTGTGTGCGCCTGGGCTCTGCGGGGTGGCCTCTGCCTCCTGTGTGCGCCTGGGCTCTGCGGGGTGGCCTCTGCCTCCTGTGTGCGCCTGGGCTCTGCGGGGTGGCCTCTGCCTCCTGTGTGCGTCTGGGCTCTGCGGGGTGGCCTCTGCCTCCTGTGTGCGTGGGGTGTGCGTCTGGGTTCTGCGGGGTGGCCTCTGCCTCCTGTGTGCGTGGGTTGTGCGTCTGGGCTCTGCGGGGTGGCCTCTGCCTCCTGTGTGCATGGGGGTGTGCGTCTGGGCTCTGCGGGGTGGCCTCTGCCTCCTAAGTGCGTGGGGTGTGCGTCTGGGCTCTGCGGGGTGGCTTCCCCATGCGGGGGTGGCCTCCTACCTCCCTGTGAGCGTCTCGGCTCCTCGGGGTTGGCCTCCTGCATCCCTATGTGCGTATGGGCTCTTCGGGGGTGCCCTCCCCCCTCCCTTGTGCGTGGGGTGTGCCCCCTGGGCTCTGCGGGGTGGCCTCTGCCTCCTGTGTGCGTGGGGTGTGCGTCTGGGCTCTGCGGGGTGGCCTCTGCCTCCTATGTGCGTGGGGTGTGCGTCTGGGCTCTGCGGGGTGGCCTTTGCCTCCTATGTGTGTAGGGTGTGCGTCTGGGCTCTGCGGGGTGGCCTTTGCCTCCTATGTGTGTGGGGTGTGTGTCTGGGCTTTGCGGGGTAACCGTGGGGGCTGCCTGAGCAGAGGCCACCAAGCTGTCTTTTCAAGGCCGAAGTCCACCATGACGGGACGCGCTGTCCCTCCCGCAGAAGGCGAGCCTCCTGGCCCTGGCCTGCCTTTCAGTGTCTCTACAACCCTGAGCCCTCAGCAGGGTGTGGCCAGCTTGGGGAGCTCGCTGCCCTGTGCGCTGGCCCAGGGTTTGGGAGGCCTCCTGCCTGCTGGGGTTTTAGGGTGCAGCTCAAAGACCAGACGGTTGCTGCCTTTCCCGGACTCACACAGGCTGGTCTCTGGCGAGCACAGGCCAAGTTCTGACTGGCACATGGCCCACCCCTGTCCTGTCTCCCTGCCAGACCACCTACTGGGGCACTGCCCTGGCTCTGTCACTCACTGACTGGCCAAGGAGGTCATCCCTGGGGGCTGGACCTCAGCACCCACACCTGACGGATGAGGACAAGCTTTCCCTTGCAGGGCTGCAGTGAGGGTCAAACAAACCCCCGACTTAGCCCGCCCGGCCCAGGTCCTGGCCCGTAGTAGTTGCTCAACAAATGCTAGTTTCCTCGCCTGGGGTTACAACCAGAGGGCAATCCCACCTCCCACCCCAAATCACAGAGCCCTCGCTCACCCACTGCCCGTGCAGCCTTTCACATGGAGACCCTCTCTGGAGGGGACAGAGCCCGTGCCTGTCCAGGTGCAGGGGACTAAGGCTCAGGCCTGGAGGGTGGGGCACACTGCGGGGGTGGGGGGTGGGGGGAAGGGGAGTTGCAGCAGGAGCTGGGAGCTGGGGCTGGGGCACAGCTGGTGGCCTTACCCAGTGATAGCAGGATGAGCACCAGGCCCCTCCATGATGGTGGAGGGGGTGTGGCACGGGCATGGGGTGTGGACCATGTGATCCTGAGACAGGGACCTGGCAAGACAGGCTCCAAGGGCCTCGCAGGCCCTCCCTGTCTCTGGAGGTTCCAGCAGGACACGGAATCTTGGCCCTCCAGAGCGGAAGGGGCTTCCAGAACCTGCTGGCCTCCTGCCCACTGCATGGATCGAGGCCAAGAGGGGGTGAGGTCAAGTCTGAGTGGCCACCCACTCTCTGGACCCCCATGCAGGCCTCTCCCTTGCCCTGTGCACACCTTTAGTCTCCCGAGTTGCCCCATGGTTGGTGCCTAAACTTCAGGTTTTAAGCCAGGGGCTCGGGGCCCTGTGGGCTATTCTTGGGTGCTGACCACCCCTTCCCACAGCTCCTCGTTATGGCGGGTCACTTACACCAGGCCCGTCTCAGCCTTCCAGGCCTTCGTCCCCCATGCTCAGGCAGCTCTGCGAGAGGCTGCTCGCCCTCTCCTCCCTGGTGGTCTCCCCACTGACCACCGCTCTCTAGGCAGAGTCTCCCCACTGACCACCGCTCTCTAGGCAGAGCGCCCCCTACCTCCCTGGCAGGGACGGTGCAGAGCGCCCCCTACCTCCCTGGCAGGAATGGTGCAGAGCACCAGGGCTGTGTGGCCAGGAAGTGGCAGAGCAGGTGGGACCTGCTGGACTAACCCCACCCCCCCGACAGCCTCAGTCTCCACTGGCCCCAGCCCCAGAGCCCCGATCGCCCAAGAATGCACTGGCCTCCATCCTGCAGCAGGGCTCCCGGCGTCATCAAGGCTCCCTCTGTCCCCAGGCCACATCCGAGAGGCCCTGCCACTTCCTCGACATCGGATCCCAGCACCTGCTCTTACTGCTCCCTCCTGGGCCCGGCCACCAGTGCCCTCCTCGGTGGCCTTCCCAGCCTCCCAGCGGTCCCTCCTCCTCCAGCCCCAAGCCCTGGCCAGTCCCTGCCTCCGGAGTCTGAGTCTCCTGAGGATGTGGAGACGGTAAGACAAGGTGGGCAAGTCGGCTCACAGTGTGCGCGTGTGAAGGTGGACTCGTGTCATTACTAATTACTGTGCTGTTTTCCGCATGAACAACTGTGAGCCGACCTTTGCCCCCTGTATTTACCGCAGGCTTCGTGCGAGGCCCGGACAGAAGGTGGCCGTGGCAGTGCTGTGTGAGCTGTCAGCTGTGACTGCGCCCGCTGTGGTGCCATTTCCTAGAACCCGTGCCTGCGGAGTCTTAGCCACAGTTTCCGGGCCCCTGCTCGGGGCTGGGAGCCGGGCCTAACAGTCCCTGGGCTCACGAGGCCCCAGTCCCATGGGCAGCTGGTGGGTTCACTCCTCTGTCCAACCAACAGACTGGGAACGACTCGGGGTGCTGGGCAGAGAGGAGCTGGAGATGAACCTGACACTGACCTGGCCTCAGAGGTTAAGGCATTTCAGGGAGACAGAACAGGACTGGGACCTCCTACCCCTGGGCCCATCCCACACGCAGACCCATCCACCATGAGTTCCTTTCCCAGGCCCCAGCCCCCGTCCCCGCAGCGGTCTCCCCGCTGACCCCAGCATCAGCACCGCAGAGGCTGACGTCTGCCGAGTGACGGGTAAAAGAACAAGACTCCAGAGGCCCTGCCAGGGAGGAACAGGTGGAGCGAGGTGACGGGCCCTGCACTGTCAGGCGGGGAGGCGAGTGCCTGAGACAATGCCCACAGCACAGGGTCCTGGGAGCCTACCAGCCACAGCCAGAGTCACGGGCACTGCAAGGCCAGGAAAGCTGAGGGCTGGACAGAGGGCACACGGGCTTCCCTGGGCACCAGCGCCAGCGCTGCATGCTCACCAGGATGCACCCCTAGGGTAGGGTGTGGGGGTGCACCTGCCCAGGAGCCTGTGTGTGGAGCTGGGTCTGAGGGACATGCTGGTGGCTGTTGCGATGGTGACCGTGGGGGGTGGGGGACTGGGAGAAGGCAGGGCGGTTGTGGAGGCCAGGACTGCAGCCCCGATGAGGGAGGGGGCTCCCAAGTCGGGGTCTGAGGGGAGTGGGAAGGGGCCCCAGGAGGCCCCCCCTGGCGCCTAGCACTGCTCTCTGGGGCAGATCCTTGGCCCCACAATCTCCAGGGCCCGGCCGGCCTGGGTCCTCACTCTGC